GTGTGGCATTATTATATAGGATGGACACAGTGACTCACGGTGCTTTATTTTTCAGTACAGCTGAGTACAGAGAGACACACACACACACTTTCATTGACAAAAAGTAACACTACACTCTCTTGTTTAAAGCACCACATCTCTTCCTGTTAAAAGGATACATTTTACACATTAACTCTTCAGTTCACAGAGAAATTTCACCAGAGCCTTTCTCTTCTTGTCTAATTTTTAGTTTAGCAGGATTCAAGCAGGATTTCAGATGATAGTTTAACCCGTTCACAGCCTACATTACATTTTGGTGTTTCATTTTCAGCTGAAGACCCTCACACCTGAAGAAGGCTTCAGAGCCGAAACGTTGCGTTTTCTCTCTTCTCTTTTAAGCAAGTGTACAATGCTGTAATACAGTTTAAAATAATTGGGTCTAAACAGTATCAACTTGAATTCTTATCTCTATTAATATAAGTATCAAGTGGTATTAAATAAATACGGCTTTTTAGTATAGATTACACTTTTCTGAAATGTATTTAAAAAATAAAAACGATTACAATCTAATCTTTCCACGTTTGATCCAAAGATCCCCAAAAAATACATCTAAACGGGGAGAAAGCTATGCTGAAAGTTTATTAAGATACTTAGAAGACAAAGATAAAGATTTATGTTGCATTTATCAGATTGTGAATCAATAAAGACATTTAATTAAAAACGCGTTTGCGATCTAAATCAAAATGGGGGCAACGAGGACTCTCTCTCTCTCTCTCTCTGACACCTGAAGAAGGCTCCACGGCCGAAACGTTGTGTTCTCTTTCTTCTTTTTTTCAGCATGGAATAAACCTATTACTTTTTCTTCTCTCTCTCATTATCAACACTCATTCAATTGTGGTTCTTTTGGTTTCACAGACGGCTTCTCAGATAGTTGGGCATTCAGTTAGATTGCCAGGCGAAAGGATTAGTAAATATATTTTGTTGAAGCAAGTCACTTTTTTGCGACACATAAAAGACATATTGTGGCATTATTATATAGGACGGACACAGTGACTCAGAGCCTCGTTGAATGAAAAAGGGCACTTTATTTTACGGTACAGCTGGTACAGCACCCAAACAAACGCAAACGTGTTTTTAATCAAATGCTTTTATTCATTCATAATCAGACTCACATAACATTCCCGAAAAAAGCCATTGACAAAAAGACACTCCCATCTTCTTTAAAACCCAGTACATCAGGAAATGTGTTAGACACATTAGCAAGTTAAAGCAATTCCATTGAAAAGCCGGGCGTAATAATTGTTTTCTTCCTTGATTCTCTGATCTGCAAGGCCATTGGGTGTAGTGAATGTGAATTCTGTCTAACATTCCAAGATTGTGAAAAATAAAAGTATTTTAGGAAACACACCTTTGCGATTTTAATCAAGATGGGGGTAAGGGGGCCTTCTCTATGACACTCACCCTTATGAAATTAATGTGAAACAAAACAAAACTAAAAATAAGATATAATCTACAGACATATTCCTTCTTTAGTCTTCCTAAAATTGTTAAGTGGGGTGGTGTGAGTTATGTGAGTCAGATTATGAATGAATAAAAGCATTTTATTAAAAACGCGTTTGCATTTGTTTGGGTGCTGTACCAGCTGTAACATAAAATAAAGTGCCCTTTTTCATTCAACAAGTGTCTGAGTTACTGTGTCCATCCTATATAATAATGCCACAATACAGTATGTCTTTTATGTGTCGCAAAAAAATGACTTGCTTTAACAAAATACATTTACTAATCCTTTCACCTGGCAATCTACCTGAATACCCAACTATCTGAGAAGCCCTCCATGAAACCAAATGAACTACAATTGAACGAGTGTTGATAATAAGAGAGAGAGTCACCCGTTACCCCCATTTTGATTTAAATCGCAAACACGTGTTTCATTAAATGTCTTTATTGATTCACAATCTGACAAATGCAACATAAATCATTATCTTTGTCTTCTATGTATCTTAATAAATTTTCAGCATAGCTTTCTCCCCGTTTAGATGTATTTTGGGGGGGATCTTGGGATCGAACATGGAAAGATTAGATTGTTATCGTTTTTATTTTTTAAATACATTTTAGAAAAGTGTAATCTATACTAAAAAGCTGTATTTATTTAATACCACTCGATACTTAAATTAATAGACATAAGCTCTCTATTAAAGCTCAGATCAAAGATCTGTAATATCTCATTGCTGATTGAGATAACAATGCGGTGCCCACACTGGGGTAAAGTTAGCTTGAAGTTCGAAAATGATATAGGCACGCCTGTAGCTTTTTCATGAAACCTCCTAGAGTTATGAAAACACTTGCTGTGTGTACAAAGTACATTGTGACTGTCTTCACAGCCTTCACTATGTTGTTTTTAAGCCATTTTTTTGACCACGCTAGAATATTCTTTTGTTCACATCTTCGGAAGGGAAACACAGAAAGCCTTCAAACCAAGTGACCATGACCTGTGAAAATGTTCACAGCTTGCACATAAAACTATCAGTGAGCTAATTCTCTTTTTTTAAACCTCCGGTTTTTCATAGATGCGTAATTACGCACTAACTGGAACCCAGGGGGACCGCTGTGTACACATGTTCACAACGCGAGAAATACTGCTCAATATGGCTTAGTGCAAAAAACCCGTATATCACCATAGGAAGCATAACAGCGTAGCCTCCAATTACCTTGACTGTAAGCACAGGAATAAAGCTTTGTTTGATTTCTGAAACCCTTTCTTTATGCTCTGTTTTCATTCAGGTAAGGGTCAAATATATACACAATACTGCTGACAACAGGAAAATTCCTATACTTGACTCAGCAGCGTCTTAAAAACAGCACCCATGGTGTTCAAACCAATTTTTTTTACACAGAAGACTGACACAGCTTTGCGTTGTGAATGTGTTTTTGTAAGAAAACGTGTCCGTGGGGGAAGGTGGAGTGTGTGTCTTTCATTGGAAGACTTGCCCTGTTCTACTTTGAAAATACCTGTGAAACTGGTTTGTTTACAAACAATGTAGACACAGAGAGTCAGACAGCGGAGTGAAATTCGGCACAGGCAGCACGGGGGAGGGAGAGAGAGAGATGCGAAAACCATGCAGCGCCAGGCACAATATTAATGTAGGGCTTTCGGGCTCACGTGGATTTGCACCCTACACCCCGCGGAATGGCTTTGTACATACCTGTTTACGCCGATAACTAGCAAATTCACAGAAAAGGTTAAAACACTATCACTTTTCACAAAGTGTTTAAACTTAATATGGTCCACGTAAGAATGTAAAAACGTTTCCAAAATAACCACTTGTAAGACTTTGATGCTTAAAATGTTTAGGGAGAAAGTGGAATACTGGTGTATTGTTTCTTTAAAATACCAATACCAGCTGTATACAGTTTACATAATATGTTTATGTTACTAAATTAATTGTCTCAAAACTTACTTGGTATGATTGGAAACGAATAGGTGATCAACGAAAAGCTGTGGTGTTACTTTTTGTCTATGAAAAAATAGTATTTTTGTTTACAAAGACGGTTACAAAGAATGTGGACCAGGGTAATACTTTGAGTTTACAGCTTGTGCAAGGTCATTCATTATTGATACTATTAGTAATATCTTCGGTAAAGACTTTGATGCATAAAATATTTTTGCATAATTAAAATATTTATGATTAAGGTAGGTTGTGTACTTTTGCCCAACTGAGCAATCTTGCTTTCATAAAATATACCAACTTTTTAATGTATGATGATTAACATGCTGTAATACACAGTTTATATTTAAAAGCTCAAATGTACATGAGCTTAAAGCTGTACATGAGAGGTTAAGTTTTGTTAGCTCCTCCTGGCTGTTTTACAAGGTGATTCCGGATACTATTAACACAATTTAATTTGCATAAGGCAGTTTGCGTTATGATGCGAAAAGACGCGTTTTACCACGTTTGGACGCGACACGTGACACGTTATACAACAGCACACCCCGCTTGTTTTGAATGGCTGCATCTGTAGGCACTCAGGGCAAAGCAGGCTGGGAGTTGTAGGCGGGGGGGTCTGAGGGTCAGCAGGATGAGCAGCAGCTGACTCTCCTTATGTAAATAGAGTTCTGTTTGTTTAAGTGTCCTCTGTAGCTTTCTAAGTGTGTAGTCTTCTGTCAACGAGTTACCACCCTAAACCTGTGTACCTAAAAGTGGCAGCAGCCACTAAATGTGCAGGGATACCAGATTTCACACTCGCACACTGTGGAGATGCATATCCCTGGGTTATCACATGAGTGAATGTGGCTGCTGGGGAGACAGACGTATGAAAGCGGATACTATTGTAGGTAACATGGCTAAGGTGAAATTGTCTGCCTACCGATAAACTATTTCAGGCAAAGAAAAAAACAAAGCAAACTGTCTTTTGTCTTTGAAACTCAGCGAGAGGGGGCTCCCATTGTATTTCCTCATTCGCACTAAAAGCCACTGATGAGGAAAGAATGAGTTGAGTGATTGATTATTTAATCATTCAGATTCAAATATTGAGGTAAAAAAGTGTATAACACACCATTGTTATTTGCAGAAAACAGTTATCAATTATTTGTTATTATGACAAAAGTATTTTCTGGTCATATATGAGTGTGATTAAATTATATCGAGTTATTAGAACAAAGTTAGGAGTGCGAATCCTCGTGGTTAGCATAAAGGCCATGTATTTGGTACGTTAAATATGAATGTTTTTGTGATTAGCAATTTAGTTAATGTTCAGTAATAGTTTTAGTTTTTATCTCACTGCCCGTGGTTTTCTGTATTAGTTTTTATATTTATATTCAAAGTGCTATCGCATTTATACTGCCAGTGAACGTTACGTTTTTTAAAAAATACTATTGGTCTCGCGATATCGCCGATTTGACTGTTGTAGTGTTTCGTATTTTTTACTGAAATGTGTAATGTATTAAGGAGAAGACTGAATAAGACATAATGCAGAGTATTTTTTTAATATGTAATTGAAAACATTAAGAAGCATTTTTGTAACTTTCAACTTATTTTCTTTGTTTACAATGCATTACTGTAAACTGTTTATTCTATATAGATTCGCACTAAAAGCCACTGATGAAAAGCAGCGAGTTGAGTGACTGATTTAATCATTTCCCTCTTCAGGGGCGCTACACAAACAATGCTTTTGTGAGTCTTTTGTTTTTGTTCGGGGCATGCAAATAATTGTAATACTTACATAAACCTAAAATTTAGAATTGCATGTCCTGTAAGCTAAACGTGGAAATTAATTTTCAGTTGCACGGAATTCACACACACGGTCAGCGTAACTCGCAGGTAATTCAGAAACGCTCTTTTTCAGCTTCTCTCCTCGGTTGTTTTGAAGCGTCGGCAGCACTAACGAATTACGTCATCATGCTGCGCGGATATTTTACCCATGGGGTAGTAATTTAATCGGTTGCTTTAGCCAAACCACAAAGAAGAAGGTAATTCTGGTTTATAAAGAAATATTTTTTCCTTGTGAACCTGAACCTCTGCAGTATCTCCCATATCCTGGTGAGACGGGCCGTGTTTAAAATCACAGTGTGTGGACAGTTTCTGGTGTGAAATGGCGCTTCTGAAGAAAGAAAACGAGAGCCTGAAGTGGAGATTACATTTGTTGGAGAAGGAGTCGGGAGCAGGAGGAGATCGGGGACAGACAGATCATGTAGGACACACGCTTCCCCGTGAAGTCCTTGCAGAAATAAAAGAAGAAACGGACACGAAACGGATGCTGTCAGGTCAGTGCAGTGACTTGTGTGAAGTCAGTGTGTGTGTGTGTTTAAAAACAGTGTCTTTACCTTCCTCAATGGTGAGAATATACTGGAGAGATGCAGAGTGAAGTGAGAAAGACTTGTGTGATGTAGCAACGGGATTCTTTACTGGAAACTGAACTGTTGTTGTCCGGTTATGGTGCTAAAAACAACTCGTTCAGATTCAACAGTTGTTATGCAGAATCGGTGTATAGTCCGACTTCATTAGGGAATATATATTATGGTATTTACGTTATATGTGTTTATATTTTTACTTGTGATTATGCATATAACTTTTATATAAATAAGTTTAAATATTACAGCCCATTTAACCCCTCTCTCTCTGTGTAGTGTTAATATACTGTAGTGTCCAGTCAGTGTGTCTGTATTAACTCCTTTCTCTCAGTGCAATGTTAATATTAATAATAATGATAATAATAATAAATAGAAATAATAAATAATTGCTTACTCTTATATAGTGCTTTTCTGGACACTCCACTCAAAGCGCTTTACAGGTAATGGGGATCCCCTCCACCACCACCAGTGTGCAGCCCCACCTGGATGATGCGACAGCAGCCATAGTGCGCCAGAACGCTCACCACACATCAGCTATCAATGGGGAGGAGAGCAGAGTAATGAAGCCAATTCATAGGTGTGGATTATTTGGAGGCCATGACTGGCAAGGGCCAATGGGAAATTTGGCCAGTACATTGGGGATACATCCCTACTCTTTTTGAGAAACGCCCTGGGATTTTTAATGATGACAGAGAGTCAGGACCTTCGTTTTACGTCTCATCTGAAGGACGGCGCCAATTTACAGTATAGTGTCCCCGTTACAGTACTGGGGCATTAGGACCCACATGGACTGCATGGTGAGCGCCCCCTACTGGCCCCACTGACACCTTCCAGCAGCAACCTCAGTTTTTCCAAGGTCTCTCATCCAGGTACTGACCAGGCTCACACCTGCTTAGCTTCAGTGGGTTGTAGTATATTTAATTTATTGTAGTGTCCAGTAAGTGTGTCTGTATTGTTACGAAAATGGTGAAAATCAGGAATTGACCGAGAGGTTGTCAATAAATGTTCAAAACCCTCAACTAGTAAGTATTTTCTGGCAATATATCTGAGCACATGGTATGATTAGAGGCATGTGAATATTTTCTCTGGCACATCTTGGTGAGAGGACTCATAATCCACACGTGTATTTAAACAAATATTTATTACAGTGACAAGCCACAAACTACACTACACACAACAAAACAAAAGTTACTTTATGTACAGTATTTAGAAACAAAGCGTTTCAGAAGCTTAACATTCTGGTCACACAGAAAACCCCTGACTGCAACTTAGCATTAAACTCTTTAGTAGTGCAGGTGGGTAGCTGCGTCCGCATGCGTAGGCTGCAAAGGAACAAGTAAAAGGTTTATTCCATGCTGAAAAGAGAAGAAAGAAAACGCAACGTTTCGGCCATGGAGCCTTCTTCAAGTGTGAGCCCTCATGCCTCAGAAGGCACCACGGCCAAAATGTGTTTTCTTTGTTCTCTTTTCAGCATGGAATAAACCTATTACTTGTTCCTATTAAACTCTTAAAATGCCTACAGAGGCCACACAAAAGAGGAGCTGCCTTCTAACTAAATGCAATGCAACCTGCAGTTAAATCTCTCTCTGCACCCTGGATGCCACAAAATAAATGGGAGCCTATATCCCTTTCCATAAAAATGCACCCTAAACAGGAAAGATCTTTCTAACTGCGGTATCCTTTACCCAGAAACCTGAAGTTTCCTTAACCACAGAATAGCATGCTCTCTCTAAGGAGATTCAAATACTCAAATACTAGTCAGGTTTGTTTTGGATGATCATGAAGTAGGAGCTTTCGCTTGGCGTAAGCTTCCCAACTACTTCTGACTCCTCTCTCTTTTCTCTGCTTCTCCTTGTTTTTTCCTCCTTTCTTTCCCCTTTGTGCTCTTAATGTGATCGGATGTTGTGTGTTTAACCTCTCCCTCAGTGCAGTGTTAATGTAATGTAGCGTCCAGTCAGTGTGTTTGTATTAACCCCCCTTCTCTCTTTTAGATCTATTGGACTTGGATGAAATCTTTTTTTTTTATTTTATTATTATGACTTTCAGTTCCTTTCACATTACCTGTGTTCAGGCAGCTTACGTTTGTTTGATTTTGTGGTATTGTGGTGTCGCCGGGGGAAACACAGGTGTAAAAGGGATGTTACTCATGCCACACTGATCTTCTCCATTTCTTTGTCCGTATGTATTCTGATTCCGATCTATAACCCGTTTCCAGTATCCTTAAACAATCCAAGTTCCAAAGTCCGTATGTCCACACAAATCCGTACCGTAACCAAATCGTAATCTGTAAACCGTAAATTGTAGTCCGTTATTCCTTAATCCTTTCAACCACAATCCTAATCCTCTTCTTCCTCCAAAATGCATTCACCTTATCGGCTTCCGCCCTGGCTCACCACTTCTGGGGCATTTATATTCTGTTTCCTGATATAGCTCAGCTGTGTCTCATTGTTTTGCTGCATAGGCCTTTTCCAACAGCGGGTCAGCTGGTTCTCCTTGGCGGCCATCTTGCTCAGGTCTATATCGAGTATATTAAGTGTTTTGTTCTGGAAATACCGGTTATAAATGACCCTTCCCCTGGTCCTCTTACAGTATATATCACATTTGAAAATGAACTTTGATTTCTTCTCAAATTTAACTTTTGTGTGAGTATTATTTCCTTTTGAGCACTACTCTCAGCCCATGTTAAAAATCATGTTCTCTTGTCCTGTGTTTGCAGGGTCAGAGACCAGTGATCTCCCTGATGCTTGGGAAAGGGCTCCTCTTGAACAGCAGCACAGTGAGGAGCAGTGGGGGTCCATTCTGACAGAGCTCACTGCTGTAGAGAGGAAAGAGAAACTCAGTGAACAGCACACGGAGAGCAGACAGAGTGTCGAGGATCTGGACTCTGTGCACATGTTGAAGACAGAGCCTGAGAGTGAGACACTTGAGCTCTTAGTGTCTGATGATTTTACAGAGAAGATTAATCTGGTCTCTAACAACCTTACTGAAAGTTGTGATAAACTGGAGTCCGTGTCTGTACAAGAGTTTAAAGCAGAACTGAATGACATTAATCTTACAGAGCAGAATATGAAGCTCCAGTTGGTATATACAGAAGAGCAGCAGACAGGTGAAGAGAACATCACTGAGCAGCACACAGAGAAGAGACAGTACAGGGAGGAACAGCAGCGGCAACTCCAGGGTTTGATAATATTAAGGCCTTGTTCTGTTAAAGTGAAGAGACTGTCATCGCAGAAGTGGTTAAAATTGAATAATCCCTTAGTATCTAAGAAATTTACAGAGAAGATTGATAATCTGGACTCTGTAAATAGTACTGAAAATTGTAATGAACTGAATTCTGTCTCTGCACAAGAGATCAAAGAAGAAGTGAATGAGTTTAAAGTAACAGAGCAGAACATGAAGCTCCAGTTGATTGAGCCTGCAGAGAAGGATACTGATGTACCTGGTGAAGACAACAGTATTCAGTTACAGCACACAAAGAAAGGTCAGTACTGGTAGGACCTGGTAAAGGAAAGACAACAGCAAAGATTACAACCCTGTAGTGATAATGCTATGACCATATTCTGTGAAAATGCAGAAACTGTTTTTCAGTGTTAATCTAGTCAGCAGTTTTTGATTTAGTCATAGTCTTAGTCAATTATAGAGATTTATTAATCAAAGTCACTTTCTAATCACCCTCATTTAATCAAACTTGTTCCTTTGCAGCCTACACATACTGACACAGCTGACACGGCTACCTTCTTGAACACATTTAATGTATTCTAGTGGACTGAATTTTGACTATAATTTGTCTTACTTTCAGTCGACTGAAATGAAATTAGGTTTTGTCACATTTTAGTCAAGAAGCCAAAATTGTTGTGCCAAGCAAAGGGCATCAACGTTGGCATTGGGACACAAGACTTCCATATGCATATGAAATAAAGACGTCTTTCAACACACAAACTCTCAACTGAGTTGAGTTTTTTTTGGCGCATCAGCTGTATGAAAACAAAGAAAAGAACCCTGGTGCCTTTTAACTTTATGGACAATCTAACAAGAATGAATATTGGATTGTGTATTATATTTTGGTTGCTCGAGATAATCATTTGGAGATTATAACAGTAAGCTTTTGAGTAACAAATTGGAATAGTTTTGGTTAGTTAAATGACTAAAGAAGGAGCTCAGGTACTGGTTTGGTGTTGGTACTAAAATTTGCTAGCTTGTTTTCTCTATCTTTTGAGAACTCTGTTTTATTGTTTACATCTATTCAATATGTCATTATCGACTTGACCTTCCCCTGGTGACATCACACAGGTAAAGCCCAGAAGGGGCAGAAGAGAAAAATGTTTAGTGTTCCTGAAGTCCTAGAAGGAATTTCTCAAGGCGAATCAGCAGCAGAGTCAGATGACGGGCTCTCAGGACTGGAGAGTGCAGATTCATTCTCGGAAGACATATTCAATGATGAACTGGACCCACTTCTGGATTTGTAAGTACATAGTTTAGAAAAAAGGTTTTTGAACCCTTTGGAGTTATCTGGATTTCTGCATGAATGGCTCCTAAAATGTGATCTCATCTTCATCTTAATCATAATAATAAAGTCAGTTTTATTTAACAAACAACATTTTACATTGCCATATCTTATTAAACAAACTCTTAGTGCGACCACGCACCTACCAGCCTTACGTTAATGTTTACATAAGATAAACAACATTGTTTTTAAATCTGCCACAAACTCTCACATGCAAGTATTCTCCAATATCATTACAACAAAACCATAAAGTTTGTTTCCACAGCTGTGACACTGTTGTGCAATAAACCAATAAATTAATGAACTAGCACGAACCCCAGTAAAAACACCCAGCCAGCACAGCATGTCAGTATCATACATTTTTACCAGCAAAATCAAAACAAAACTACAAACCTTATAGCATATGAAAAGACTTGAAAAATTCAATTTCAAATGTATTTCAAATCCAAATGTGACAGTGGAATACATACATAAAGAAATATTTTCCCCGATGACGCACCATACAAAATGCACTCAAATAAGCTTGTTGTGCATTCTACGTTTTTACAATGAAAACATAATTAGAAAGCTGAATCTTGCAAAAATATCAAAAAACATTATTCTTAGTGTTCAAAAGCAAAGGATTCCACGACCTTGATTGTCCAGCCAAAAAGTTTTTGTAAAAGATTCATCCCTCAAGAGCCGCCAAATCTTGTAGCTTCTTCCAAATAACAGTTTTTCTGTCATTTTGCTGCTTTGATTTGTGAAAAAAGGTTGTCAATTAGTGAATTTTGACCAGTAGAAATTTAGGGTGGGTCTAAAGCTGCCCAATGATAACTTGGAGCTTTCTGAAACCAAACCAAAAGGAACTTGTCTTCCCTTTTCTTTTTTGGGTTTAGCCAAAAAAATATAAAAATCGCAAGCAGCGCACAGAAAAAAGCAAAAAAGACGACGGTTGCTCAGGGACTTGAAGAGATATATCAGGACGATTCGGGAGAAGAGTCAGATGTACAGTCAGGTCTGGACAGTGCAGATTCCTTTTCTGAAGACGCTTTTGATGATGGACTGGATCCACTGCTGGATCTGTGAGTATTTTTGTTTTATTTATGCAATGTTTTATTTTGCTATTATTAGTTCTAAAGTTGTTATTGATGTTTATGTCAAACGTTATCTGTATAGGAACAAGTAATAGGTTTATTCCATGCTGAAGAGAAGAAAGAAAACGCAACGTTTTGGCCGTGGAGCTTTCTTCAGGTGTGAGGTGTGAGGTTATCTGTATATATGAGAATGAGAAATATATATTGCAAATATGAGAAAATGGTCTTTTTGAGTCTCATTGGAAACAAATAAATGCAAGATTTGCAAATATTGTTGTCTGCAAGGAAAAAAGCCTTTGCATGTCTTTTTTTTTTTACTGCAAATATTGGAAGGTGATCCTTCTGAGTCTCTTGGACAACACAAACAAGACATAAAGTTTGGCTATTATAGTTTTGACCAAAAAGCTTTTATGTTTCCTTGTTGGCTATTTGCAAACATCTGAAATTGCAGCTTCTTGGACATATGATTTTAGAAATCACTATTGTCTGTGAGGTTTTTTTTTTAAGATTGAAGGGGTTCCTTGGTCACCATGCACTAAAGTGTGAATAAACACTCATCTGCAATTAAAGCCAGGCCAAATTTGCTCATTCTCCAAGGCCTTGGTCTCCAGCTCAATCATTACACATGTGGAGTGCTATCCTATTGCCCTAACTTTGTCACCTAACAACAAAGGCTATTGGTAAGTAATAAAATAATGAAACTCATTCCTAGTTATTAAATCAGTATTTATTTCTTATTTCCTTTTTTTTCAGTGAGGACATCGAAGAACCACCTGCCCCCTCCACCCCCTCAACAAGTGCTGAGGTTCCCACCCCTCCTTCCAGAAGCACTCCACCCCATTCCACAAGACCTGTTCGAGGAAGGAAGAGGAGGAGCCTCCACCCCCCAGCTGAAGAGCCAGAGGACAGGTGGAAGACAGAAGCTGAACAGGATGTGAAACCTGAAAAGTTTCGGTTCAATCCAGCACGGACACCAGGTGCCCAGCTGGACACTTCCAAGACATACTCCCCACTAGATTTATTCCAGCTGTTTTTTGGCATGGCGGTTATGCGCACACTGTGTAATAACACAAACAAAAATGCAATCAAACGAAAGGCCCGGGGTATAAAATCAGAGTGGCAGCCGGTGTCCATAGTGGACATGTATAATTATATAGGGATTTTGATTTATATGGGGCTCCTCACTTCTCATAATGTGAGAGATTATTGGACTCCTCGGGTGCCCTATGATGTTCCTTTCTGCCGGTCTATTATGACCCGAACAAGATTTGAGGCCATTTCCTGGACACTTCACCTTAGTGATCCAGAGGAAGACAGGGAAAATGACTTAAAAAAAGGGACCTCAGACTATGATCCCCTTTTCCACCTTAGACCTCTGTTTGACTCCATCTTAACTGCCTGTCGATTGTTTTATCAGCCACGACAGAATCTGTTTATTGATGAAAGAATGGTGGCCTCAAAGACGAGCTTTAGGCAGTATATGAAGGGGAAGCCCACTAAGTGGGGCTTCAAGCTGTTTGTGCTTGCTGATGCTTCCACAGGTTACACCTGTGATTTCTCAATCTACACAGGAAAATCACCATCTGCCACAGGAAAAGGGCTGAGCTATGACTCAGTTATGAACCTCATGAGAGTTTCATACCTGGGTACAGGTTATAATGTTTATGTTGACAACATAAACACCAGCTCAGCCCTTTTCCAGGACCTCTTCAAAATGAAATTTGGTGCCTGTGGCACTATAAGAGAGAACCGTGTGGGTTTCCCCCGCACAAAACAAAACACCCTACCTAAGAAGGCTGAAAGGGGCTCCTTGCGCTGGATAAGGTCTGGTGAGCTATTGTTCACCAAGTGGATGGACACACGTGTGGTGACCATGTGTAGTACCATCCACAAGGCGTACAGTGGAGAGACAGTCCAGCGCAAGGTAAAAAAACCCGACGGGTCTTCGCAGGTTCAGGCCATTCCTATCCCTGATACCGTCAAGGACTACAGTCGGCACATGGGGGGGGTGGGTTTGTCTGATGCTCTCATACAATACTATATTCTGGCACACAAAACTAGAAAATGGTATAAAAAACTGTTCTTCCATTTCATTGACATTGCGGTGGTGAACAGTTTTTTGCTACACAAAGAATTGGCAGAGAGTCAGAGCTTTCAGGCTCTGACTCATAAAAAATTCAGAGAGGAGCTGTGCAAACAGCTTGGTAGTGTGGGGGTTGAGGAGCAACAGGAGGCATCAACAAGCACGGCTGCAGGCTGTTTTCCTATCGCGATCTCCCAAGGGCAGGTGGTGGACCCTTCAAGGAAGACAACAATAGGGCGGAAGATATGTGTTGTCTGTGCAAAAAAAAAACATAAGATAAAAACTCCATGGAAATGTGAAAGGTGTGATGTGGCATTGTGTCTAATTGTTGATAGGAATTGCTTCAGGGAGTGGCACCAGAAAAAGAGGAAATAGGACACCTTTTTCGTTGTATTTGTATGTAAATGTTTTTCATTTTTTACATTTCTTGTTTTTTTTACACTTTTTGTTTTGAAAACATAGTAAAAACCACATATAAAAAGGTCTTTCTTTTTTATATGTTTTCACTTTCAAGCAAATTAGGATACATTTGCTGTTGGCTACTTGTGGATTTGAATAATCTAATTAGTGGGCTGTGTTTGTCTTCCTGCCTGTCTGATGTTTTCAATGGAGTGAGAAAAAGGGTGAGGCCTTTTTTGTCAACCTCAGTGATCTCTTGTGAACAAAAGAAGTGAGAATGGCTGAGGATATGGTAGCCAGTTCAGCTTTAAATGATCAATAGAAGTTACCTTCACAGGGAAAAAAGGCTTACTTTGAAAGACTGAGAAAATATTTTAAAGGGTAAAACAAAAGAAACTTGTCAGGTACACCAGAACTTGTACTAATTATTGCACATAAAAAGTCTGCTAGTTTATAGAAAGAGTGGAAGTGTCTTGACAGGTGTGGCATTAGAAATTAGAGTATTGTTCATGCATATGCCTTCTGGAAACCCAAATCTCTCCAAAATGGCCACCTTTTGGATAGAATATTGGATTGTAAAGGAAAATAAGGGGTGTAAGATGACCAGAGGAAGGGTCATCCAGGACAGGTATTTCAGGAATGATCTGTTCAATATTCTTGACTTAGACCTGACCAAGATGGCTGCTTAGAGAAACCACGTGACCCGCAGATGGAAAGGGCTCAGTCCCGATCAGCGGGTGCCCGCATCCTCCACCAATTGTGGTGCCTCTGGGGGAAAGGTTTATGTAAACAGCCAAAAGTACTCCCACCACACTTCTCTACTGTGGAGTTTTTCTCCACGAAACAAGTTTTCCAATAAAATGCAAGATATATAGAAGTGCCTGCTTCCAGGCGGAAATTAACCTTGTAGAGCCTGTAACAGTACAATCAAGGTCATTGATGGAAAAAGTATGCGAACCCTTAAGTTTAGTAACAGTGGAACCAGTTTTATTGGCAATAACCTCAACCAAATGCTTTCTGTAGCTACTTGTCAGACCTGCGCAACGGTTAGGAGATATTTTGGCCCATTTCTCTATACAAAACTGTTTCAGTTCATTTATATTTTTGGGACGTCTAGGCTGAATGGCCTGCTTCAGATCACGCCACAGCATCTCAATGGGATTGAGGGCAGGACTCTGACTGTCCATTCTGAAATACAGAATTTTGTCTGTTTGAGCCACTCTGTTGTTGATTTTCTCCTGTGTTTTGGATCATTGTCATGTTGCATGACCCAACTTCTTTGAGTTCTTTGAGATCACAGACAGATGCCCTGACATCCATTTGTAGAATTTCCTGATACAACTTGTAATACTTTGGGATTGTTAAAACAAGCGCAAAAACACAAAGTGCAGACAGTGCATCAAGACAATATACAAACAAACAGTAGACAATGTACAAGTAAACAGTTTGAATGTAAACAATGCAGACAATGATTGGAGAGGATGCTCTCTGTGGTGCAGCAGTAGAAGTTCACCAACACAGGTACTGGCATCCCCCATCGCTTGAGGCACCTCAAGAAATAAAGGCGCTGCTGAGCCTTCTTCAAGATAGTCAGTGTTCACAGTCCAGGTAAGATCTTTAGAAATGTGAATTCTCAAAAACCTAAAGCTGGTGACTGTTTCCACTTCCGTTCCATCAATAGTGAGTGGGCTGTGAGTGTGTGGCCTGTGTCTCCGAACATCCACTATAAGCTCTTTCGTTTTATTTACGTTCAAGTCGAGGTTGTTGCTATGACACCACCTAATCAGCTGTACGACTTCATCCCTGTAAATGGACTCGTCATCATCACTGATCAGGCCTATTATAGTGGTGTCTTCCGCAAATTTAATGATGCGGCTGTCGCTGTGTCTTGCTGTGCAGTCATGAGTGAACAGGGAGTACAACCCTGGACTCAGCAGCCTTGTGGGGTTCCAGTGCTCAGGATGAGTGGTGTTGATGTTTTATTACCTATCCGCACCACCTTTGGTCCTCGATTAGAAAGTCCAGCAGCCAGTTGCAGACAGAATTGCACAGATCTAATCCCCTGAGCTTTGTCACCAGTTGACTGGGTATGATGGAATTGAATGCTGAATTGTAGTCCACAAACAGCATTCTCACATACGAGTTCTTAGTGTCCAGGTGTTCCAAAGGTGTATGTAGAGCCAGGGAGACAGCATCATCAACTGATCTGTTGTTCCGGTAGGCGAACTGCAAGGGGTCCAGGGACTCCTTGATGGAGGAGTTGATGTGTGACGACACCAGCTTCTCCAGGCATTTCATCATCACAGATGTTAATGCTACTAGGCTGTTCAAGCACATTACTTTTGCCTTTTTGGGGAGTGGAACAATAGTGTTTTTTTTTTTAAGCAGGTGGGGACAATGGACTGTGACAGGGAGGAGTTCGAGATGTCTGTAAACACTGGTTAGCTGGGCTGCACGTGTCCTCAGAACGCGGGGTGGTATCCCATCAGGCCCTGCAGCTTTAAGGATTTTTCACCCTGCTCAGTGTCTTTGCACGTCCTGCTTTGAAAGTTTCAGAACAAACGCACCCTGCACACTTGGGGTCTTCTCAACAATGCCCATGTTCAGAGCATCAAAGCAGCATAGATATGGTTCAGCTCATCCGGCAGGGATGTGTTGTTCGTGTCAATCTCCTGGCTGCAGCCCTTGTAGCCTGTGATTGACTGTAATCCCTGCCACAGCCTCCGGGTGTCGGCGCACTGCGTTTCAAGCCGCACTCTGTAGCTCCGTTTGGCGCGTTTTATGGCTTTCTTTCTTTCCTGTTGTTTTTTCCTGTATTTGTCTTTGTTGGCTGATTTTTATTTGTTTTTTCTTTCTTTTTTTTTTTTTGGGATTTTGTTTTTTGTCCCCCGTTTTTTGTTTGGGAATTGTCTTATTTTTCTTTTTTGTTCCCCAATTTTCTGTGGATTATTTCATGTAGCTTGTGGCGGTTTCCTTATTCTCTTTTTTCTTTGTTGGGAGCTCTTGCTGCGCAAGTGTCTCTGTGGTTTGTTTTTGGAGCATTCTTCCAGTATAGCTGTGGAACATCCAAGTGGTCTTAGCAGACTTAAGATGGGCAGCAAAGTTTTTTTTGGAGAGCAGTGTCCTCCATGGTAACCTCAGTGTTTTTATGGTAGACTCATGAACACAAATGCAAGAGATTCCTGCAAATCCTTAGCTGTCACCCTAGGGTTCTTTGTCACGTGTTTGAGGATTGTATGGTGTGCCCTTGCACTGACCTTTGTAGGATGCCCTCTCCTCAGGAGGGTAGCAACAGTGCTGTATTTCTTCCATTTGTAAACTATCTGCCTAGCTGTGGACTGATGGAGGCCCATGTCTTTAGAAATCCTTCTGTAACCCTTTCCAGTCTTTAACAACTCTTCTTCTGAGGTCCTCTGAAATCTCTTTTGATCGAGCCATATTGCACTTCACAGAATTCTGTTATGAAGAGCAGGTAATCAAAAATGTGTGTTTTTGTTTTGTGGCAGGGCAGGTCAAACCCGCACCTGAATTGATTGAAATACCTGACTCCAATTACCCTCTTTTCAAGAGGTTATTATCCTAGCGGTTCACATACTTTTTCATCAGTGACCTTAATTGTTTCAACCATTTGTTCAATAAAGATATAACATTGTAAAATGTTGTGTTAAATATTGCTTGTTAAATAAGATATGTCTTTATTATTATGACTTAGATGAAGATCACATCACATTTTAAGAGCCATTAATGCAGAAATCCAGATAATTTTAAAGGGTTCATAAAACTTTTTCTCATAACTACTTGTGTCATCTACACCATCAATATATTTATTATTGTTTTAAAGTTTTATTGTTTTTATTGCAACATGTCTGCATAGAGCAGGACTTGCTTTTTATCTCGGCCGATCAGTCTGTATCTGTATTGATTGAGGTAGCCGGCTAAACCTAACCAGGAGCAAGTTACTAGGTATATTGAAAGTCTGGAGAACTAGAAGTATTCAAATATGAGTAAATCTGAGTGTGAAAATAAACAATCATATCGAGAGATTCTAAGCTCAAGTGAAGCCGAGGAAGTTAAAGCGCTGTCTGAACGTGATGTGAGCTTTCTTCTTGAAAAAGTTGCCTCAATTTCTGAAAAACTCCAGAAATTGGATCTGCTACAAATCATTGATATCAACAACTTGAAGGAAGCGGTAACTTTAAGTAATACATTGATTGAGGAACTTCGAAATGAAAACTCTAAACTTCAAAATAAAGTGGTTGCACTCAGAGACAACGAAAAAATTGCAAAATGAAAATACACGTCTAAAGGAATCGGTATTAGATTTACAGTGTTGGAACATGAGGAAAAATATAATAATGGGGTTGAGGGAGGAAGAGAAGAATGAATCATATTGGAAAACAGAAGAGCTCACGAAAACTCATGTGGGAAGAGCTGAAAATAACGAATCAACAGGTGAAAGGGTGCATCGTGTCGGCAGGAGGAAACCGGGAAGAAGCTCCTGGTAGTGGCTCGGTTCTTGTGCTACAAAATGAAAATGATGGTATTGGAAAGAGGAAGAGAATTAAAAGGTAAAGACTGTTTCGATTAACCATCAATTCCCACTTGAAAGTGTGGCCAGAAGGAAAAGGCTGTATCCCATTATGAAAAATAAGTGGGAATGAGGTGTTAAAGTCCGTCTCGTTCTAGATAAATTATATCTAGATGACAAGCTTTTTAAAGATCCAAAAATACTACATGCTGTAGTAGTAAAAGACCATAATCAATGTTTTTCTTTTTTGGGGGGATACACGGACTCTTGTAAACATCGGCATCGTGATGTTAATTTATATTCTCTGGCTAATCTCATTTTGTCTTAAAATCAATTGGGGCTGAAATTTGGGAATATAGCCTTGCCCTCAGATTATATGTTTCAAGGTATGAAATGCAATAATTTTTAGCACTCTTGGGTGCTTTTTTCATGTACATTATTTTGTAAAGTTGTATACTAATAATGGATTTAGGTACTATTGTAGTGTGCTCTCTGAAGGCACTAGTTCTGTAGGGTTTGGGCATTTACTGGGACAATTATTAATTGTAGCAGTAAATCACAAAATGATTCTTTTGATGGCTTTATAATCCAACCATGCGATATAACTCAACGCACACACACAGGTACTAATACACGAGGATACATTTATTAATACATAGAATATGCATATAAACCTAACAAATCTTATCGAGAGGGTTATACAAAAGGTATATATTCAGTCAGTTACAAAGAGTTACATATATCAAGAGGACATACGTTCAGTATATCATTCATTTACACCATTTCGTAAATGAACTTGGTTATAACTTCTACATTAGATACTCAAAACAAGTACATAACTCTTAGGAATTAAATTGATATCAACTGGTTGGAATAACAATTGAATTCTCGAGCAGTAATGCAGTGAAGTTGAATACTCATCCAATCTCTGGGGTTTCAGATCTCCTGCGGGCACAAAGAAACAGTTGCAGGCTGTTGCTATCCAATCCACACTCTCTGGCTCGGTGCCAGGCTGTGGTGTGCGGCTTGCAACGGTGTGCTGCTGATGCTCACTGACCGGCTAGTTAGTGTTGGCTTTAACTAGCAAAGTTTGCGCACAGGAGAAAAGATGACTGTTGGTCCCAGCAAGTCAGGAAGAAGACCGGCTCGTTCCTGATGAAGCGCTAGTTCTGAATACTGATTCAGCTGTCCACAGTTCTGACCTGTTCACGAGGCTTGCTGCTGGTGCTAACCTCGGGTGGATCCTCTGGTTACTCTCTGGCAACCTCCGCTCTAGACTCTTAGAACAAAGGAAAGTTCTGGCACTCAGAGACACTGGCCGTTCCGTGGTTGTCCGGGCTGAGTCTCGGGATGGTCAGGAGGCGCTCTTGCGAGAATGTCCTGCCCTTGGGAGCCTTCTGCTCCTGGGCCGTCCTGCCCTGGAATTCTCCTTTGAATTCCCTTTAGAAAAGTCCACAGAATCCTCCTGAATTCTCTCAGGCTCTCTGTGTTGCCTGTTTTTACCTGGAGGAACTTCAGCTCGTTCATTGGCTGAAAGTTTCGTGGGCATCAGAGACCCACGTGGGTTACTCGGCCCTACCAGTCCCTTATTGATTGATCAAGGTGAGATATGAGTCACTTACTCCTGACACTTAGGAATGGAGTCCAGATGTCCATCTGGCACTCCCTAGACAGATAGGCGCCAATGGATGACCATTGATCATGATAGCAAGGCTTAGCTAAGTACATCCCACTTTGGGAGCTGTCCCTTATCAAAAGAAAACATCTTTAAATCAGCCTGCATGAATAGTTTCTCTGTGGCTGCACCACAGAGATGAACAGAGAGATGGGGCCTCATTTGGGAAAGCCCAGCAACACTTAATTCTGTCTTATTAACAAGCATTGCCGCTACACTATCATAATGATTGACTTGGGTGAGCAAAAAGCAAGTTTTTTTTCTCATCTTCATGATCATTAAGGGAAAGGTGGGGGGGGGGGGGGGGAAGGGAAGGTTGAAGGAAGGGGAAT